TGGGGGGGGGGGGGGGGGGGAGAGGGGGGCGCCTCTTTTCATAAAGGGGCGTAAAAAAAAATAAACGCTCGCGCCGAGAAATCGCCCGTGTTGAAGCGGTGGTGGGGTTGACTTCATTTTTTTATTATTTATTTATTTATTTTATTTGTTTTGGGGTTTTTTTTTTAGTTGTTGTTGTTGGGGGTTTTTTTCCCCCTCTCTCCCCCCCTTCTCCCCTCTTTTATTTACGCCCCTCGCGTATCTCCCCGAAGCCTCCCCGTTTTGGGGTGGGGGGGAAGGAGGGGAATGACATTTTTTTTTCCAGTGAAGGTCAGGGCAAAAGGGGATGGAAAGAAGGTGAGGGGGGGGAGAGAGGAAGAAAATAATCTTCGCGAGGGTACAATGAAACACCTAAAAGTACAATAAACCCCCCGAGACAAAGCTGCCCACGGGAACTCGCACCCGCCAGACGCGTCCCCCCCCCCAGCCCCGCATCCCAACCCGGCCGAAACAGGGAAGACAAAGAGCAGCACCTTCCCCAGACACTAAATGTCAAGAGATTCCCCTTAAAAAGAAGCAGGAATAGCGTAGATCTTATTGCCTGAGGTCTGGCGGGGGGCCGCGGGGGCTTTTCTTGCCCTGGCACTGCAAACCAACCTTTCCGCCCTGCCCAAGGTGAGGGGTTTTTGGAAGGACTCGCTGCACCTTTGCTCGCTGCAGCCGGGGACAAACGCCTGGAAAAACGCGGCTCCTCTTCCCAAAACCGCCCCCCACCCCCGAACTGACCGGACCTGACAACTTCATTTTATTTTGGGGTTTTTTTTTCCTTTTTTTTTTCTTTTTTTTTCCTCCCCTTTGCAGTGGGATTTTAAAAATAGCAATATTATTGATCAGAGAGGAAAAACGGTCACCTCGGCATTCGCTGCTAATTAAGGAGCCTCTGTCCCCAGTTGCTCTTTCCTTCGGTTTTTGGGGGTGGTTTTTTTTCCCTAGGGAAGGTGGAACCTGGGGCAGGGCGGGGGGACCAGGTGGGTGAATTCTGCAAAAAACGAGCGCGGTTGTTGGGGCGTCCTTGGGATTATTCGTGTGCTGAGATTATTTCTTCACGATAAACGCAGCTCGATTATTAAAGAAATACTTTCACATTAGGCGGTGGATTAAAAAAAAAATCACTGTTTTCCCGCATAGTTCATTGTCTGCTACAGGGAGGGATAACACCACCCCCCTCCCTTTCTAAATGGAAAAATACCCCCTCGATTTCGGCAAATCTGATAAAGGTGGACAAGGTGGCTACTGGGACTTTTCCTCTTCTCGGGGAGGTGTCTGCCAAAAAAAAAACCCCAAAAATAGATTCAAACCCACAAGTTTCAACCTCGCCAGAGGTTTCGAGCCTCGAAAAAAAAACCCCGAGAATGTGACCTTTGCTGGGCAGAAAAACCTCAAACGAGCTTTGGCGAGCGGAGCCGAGCCGGTGTTTTTCCTCCCTCCACACTTGAAATCGGTCGGAGTCACTCAGGGCTCTGCTGAAAATAATTAGGCTCCTTTTCCATTTTTTTGGGGGGTGGAAGAACACGAGGGAAAGGTTTGGAGGGCTGTGGACTCTCGAGGGGGAACGCGGGGCCTGTTAATGACACCGCGGCGTTTGGGGGGGGTTCGGCAATTTTTGCGGCTCTCCAGCAAATAATTCCTCTGCGAAGTGTGTCCTCCTCTTCCTCTCCTCCTCCCTCCATCCCTCCCCACCCCCCCCCCCCCCCCCAAAAACCCTCCCTTCCCTTCCCTTCCCTTCCCTTCCCTTCCCTTCACATTCCACCACCCCCCAGACCCCCTCTCCTCCCGTGTCCCCTCCCCGCCATGTCCCCTCACCAGCAGCAGGAGGGGGCGGCTCCTCCGCAGGGCCCCGCAGCAGCCGAGGCAGCCGAGCAGGGCCAGGGCGATGCCGAGGGCGAGTAGGAGCCACGCGGCCGCGCCCAGCACTGCCCGGGCGGCCACGAGCGCCTGGAACCCGCCCGGGTCCGCGGCCACCCAGAGCCCCAGGGCGGCCAGGAGCGTCCCCCCGGCCTGCGGGACAGGGGGAGTCAGGGAGGACCAACCCCAGCCCCGGGGACGAGCGACCCGAGCCCTGTCCCAGCCCGGGGACCGGTGTCACCCCCCCCGAGCCAGAGATGTCCCCCCCGGGAATGGGGATGCTCCAGCCCTGGGACTGGTGTCACCTGTCCCTGAGCTGGACAGAGGTGTCACCCCTTGGGAATGGGGGACATGGTGTGTCCCCCCCCGAGCCAACTGGAGATGTCCCCCCGTGGGAACGGGGATGCTCCAATCCTGGGAATGGTGTCACCCCCCCCGAGCCAGAGATGTCCCCCCGTGGGTCGAGGGGTGTTCTGTCCTTGGTCCCCTTCCTTTGGCCGGTGTCACCTGTCCCTGAGTTGGCCAGAGATGTCACACCCTGGGGACAGGGAATAACCCAGCCCCGGCACTGGTGTCCCTCCCTGAGCTGTCCAGAGAGCCAGCTGTGGGGAGCTCTGGGGACGGATCCCCCCCGGCCCCAGGAGGACTCACAAACACGAGCACGTTGAAGATGAACATCAGGTACTTGAGGCAGCTCAGGACATCCATGGGGACCCCAGAGGGGGACACGGCCCCGTCTGTCCCTGGGGGGGAAAGCAGAGCCCTGGTACAGCCAGTCCTGGCACAGCCACCCCCAACAGCCTCACAGCCGCCCCCAACAGCCACCCCAAACCATCCACAGCCACCCCAAACCCCCCAACAGCCACTCCTAACACCCCACAGCCACCCTAAAACACCCCACAGCCACCCCCAACAGCCACCCCAAACCAACCCACAGCCACCCCAACACCCCACAGCTACCCCAACCCCCCCCCAGCCACTCAAAAACACCCCACGGCCACCCCCAATAGCCCCACAGCCACCCCCAACACCCCCCGACCCTCCACACCCCTCAACACCTCCCACCCAGCCCTGGTCTGTCTGGCCCCCCCAGCTCCCGGGGGACACAGGGAGACATGGGGGGGACACAGGAGGACACAGCCTCCCAAAGTCCCCAGAGCATCTCCCACCCCCCACAGCTCCTGGGGCACCCCAAGGAGCCCCAACCCCCGTGTCCCCTCCAAATCCCGTGTCCCCTCCACCTCTGTGTTCCTTTCAAACCCCATGTCCCCTCCAAGCCTTGTGTCCCCTCCAAGCCCCACCTTCCCTCCTCCAAACCCCACATCCCTCCAATTGCCGTGTCCCCTCCAACCTGTGTCCCCTTCAACCCCCGCGTCCCTTTCAAACCCCGTGTGCCCTAAAAATCCCATATCCCCTCCAAATCCCTTGTCCCCTCCAAATCCCGTGTCCCCTCCACCCTCGTGTCCCCCCCGCCCCCCTCACCTCTGGGCACAGCCCCGGGTCCCTCCAACCTTTCCCGGCCCCTCCGGAACCCCGGGAAGGCTGGAAAATCCCTCCCCCGCTCCGTCCCCCCCAGCCCGGCACCCCCGAGGATCCCCTTCCAGCGCTGAATGATTGATGGGAAAAGGATCCCGAGGATCCCGCGGGCCAGGGAGGGGCGGCGGAGTGGGAAGGGAGGAAGAGAACCCCGGGGGAAAAAGGGGAATTTGCGAAAATGGGGAATTGAAATCGGAGGGGAGGGAAAGAGGAGGAATTTTGGGAAAGATGGGGAATTGAAATCTGAGTGTGGGAAACGAGGAACGTAAACCTGTGGAGAGAGAAAGATGGAATTTTGGGAAAGATGAGGAATTTTGGGAAAGACAAGGAATTTTGGGAAAGACGAGGAATTGAAACCTGTGGGGAGGGAAAGATGAGGAAATTTGGGAAAGACGAGGAATTTTGGGAAAGACAAGGAATTTAGACCTGTGGGGAGGGAAAGACAAGGAATTGAAACCTGTGGGGTGAGAAAGAAGAATTTAAACCTGTAGAGTGGGAAAGATGAGGAATTATTGGAAAGACAAGAAATTGAAACCTGTGGGGTGGGAAAGACAAGGAATTTTGAGAAAGACCTGTGAAGAGGAATTTAAACCTGTGGGGAGGGAAAGAGAAGGAATTTTGGGAAAGACAGGAATTTTGGAAAAGACAAGAAATTTAGACCTGTGGGAAGGGAAAGAGGAGGAATTTAAACGTGTGGAGTAGGAAAGATGAGGAATTTTGGGAAAGATGAGGAATTTAAAGCCGTGGGGTTGGAGGAGAGGAGAGGAATTAGAGGCAAAAAAATCGAGTAATTTATACACTTAAAATTTCCCCCTCAAGGAGTAAAAATTTAAAGCTTTTAGGCATAAACATTTAAATGTTTTATAGAGTTAAAATTTCCATGAACTCACACACAAAGGGTAAAAAATTAAAGATTTTATGAGTAAAAAATTTAAATGTTTTATACAGTTAAAATTTCCCCCAAAAGAGGTAAAGAATTAAAGTTTTCAGCGATAAAAAATTAAATCTTTAAAGAGTTCAAGTTTACACGGACCCCCTCGCCTAACGCGCCATCCTCGCCGCCAGGGGGCAGCCGAGCGCGAGGACCACAAAGCCGCGCGGCGCGGCCAGAGCGTCTCCCCCTCCTTCTACCCCGCCAGCTGTGAGGCTCCACCAATCAACGCGCGCGGGGGCGGGATCACAACGAGAGAGACGGTAGGAATAACCAATCATAGTGCTAAAGAGGCGGGACTATGGGTGACTGGCAGCAGGTATGACCAATCAGCGTGCGGCGCGACGGGGCGTGGCGCGGTGGGTGGGCGTTCCCGTTCCCCTCACAGCGTCGTTCCGGGGATGTAGCGGCCGGTGAGGGGGCCCGGGCGCTCCGAGGGTGACGGGGCGGCCCCGAGCGCCGGGAGTTCCCCCGGGCACGGCCCGGCCCCGGGGCCGTAACTCGGTGTCTCTCCCCCCAGAGCGGCGGCAGAAGGACGCGCACGGAGCCGCAGCGGAGCCGCCGCCGCGCCCATGGCGTCCCGAAAGGCCCCGCCCGGCGCGGGCAGCGCGGCGGCGGCTGCTGGACGGGAGCGGGAGCGGGAACGGGAACGGGCGCACCTGGAGCTCGCCGAGCTGGGGCCGCTCCTGGAGGAGAAGGGGGAGCGAGGAGCCGCCGGAGCCGCCAGTGTGAGAGACCCGAGGGGACGGGGCAGCCCGGGCGGAGGGTGGCCGGGACCGGGATCACCGGGATCGGAGCAGGATCGGGGGTCACCGGGATCGGGAGGCACCGGGATCGGGAGGCACCGGTATCCCGCGGCCAGATGGCGGGGCGGGTCCGGGTCGTTCTTTGGGCTAGTCCCGGCTCAGAGCCGGGCAGGGATGGAATGGGATGGCACCGGGATATCCCGGGATGGGGATGGCACCCGGGAGGGGGATGGCACCGGGATAGGGATGGTACCAGGATATCCCGGGATAGGCATGGCACCGGGATATCCCGGGATGGGGATGGCACCGGGATCCCTGTGTCTGTGCTGGGTGTTCCCGGGGTGATCCCAGTGCCCCAGCAGTCCCACAACGCTGGGAATCACATCCTAAACTCATTCCCAGCACAGCAGGAGAGCAGGACCCGAAGCGTTCCCAGGTCCGGGGGGAGGGTCAGGATTCCCGCGGGATCAGGGTTCCCGGTTGGGGTTCCCGGCCGGTGTTCCCAGGAGCAGGGTCAGGATTCCCGGGGGGAGGGTCGGGTTTCCTTGGGCAGGGCCAGGATTCCCGATCGGGGTTCCCGGGAGCAGGGTCGGGTTTCCTGGTCGGGTTTCCTGGGATCAGGGTGGGATTTCCCGGCCCGGCCGATCCAGCGCTGGTTTCAGGGATGCAAATCCCGCGGTAATCCCGCCTTGCGACAAGAAGAATCTGGGATTAGCCCGCCCGGGATGGGTCAAGAGTTGCATAAGTGGGGGGTGACCGCGGGTCCTGCCTCACCCTCGCAGAGGATGGACCCCAGGAGTTCCCAGAGGCTGGAATGATTCCCTCACAGGAGCTGGAATGGTTCCCAGGGGCAGGAATGATTCCCTCCCAGGGGCAGGAATGATTCCCTCCCAGGGGCAGGAATGGTTCCCAGGGGCAGGAATGGTTCCCAGGGACAGGAATGATTCCTTCCCAGGGGCAGGAATGGTTCCCAGGGACAGGAATGATTCCCTCCCAGGGGCAGGAATGGTTCC